GTGTCGCGGCCTTAACACAAACTTATTCTCTGTTATAATTTATTAGTACAATAGGTGCGTTCGGGGAGACGCTATTAACGCTATTTCTGTCATTCTATCCTTGTTTTTTACGTCTAATAAACACAAAGATAGAATAAGGGCCACTTTCAGGGCCTCTTTCATCAACTCCGATTAACTAATTATAGCGTATTCAATTTAATGACTCGACCCGACTCCGAGTCAGTAGTCTGTTCTGTTTAGCTACAAAAGAAGAGCTAAATTGTGTAAGAAATGCAGCTAAAAAGAACAGACTGTTGACTCAGAGTCGGATCGAGTCAGTAATCGAATACGCTATAAGACTTTAGAGGTTAAGATATCTGTCATCTCCACTCGGTACAGCGCTATGTATACTCAGGGCCATTTTTATCAAGCTCAGTTAACTTATAGCGTTTTCGGCCCGATCGGGTTTGCACCAACCTTGGTTGAATTAATCTTTTCTATTGGTTGACATCATACGCTCTACCAATAGGAAAGAGCACAAAACGCCATTGATCCAACCCAGGTTGGTGCAAACCCGGCTGGGCCGAAAACGCTATTAACCAGCCTAGTAACTGTAATGAAATAGAAACAGATAGAAATAGTTCTATCTCTTTCTATTTCATTACAGTTACTAGGCTGGTTAAGTAAACCGACGATGGTAGAAGTGGCCCTAATGCTGGATTCACCCTACATCCGATTTTCGTCGTACAACTCTCTTCAACCAATCAGAAAACAGAATTCAGATGATACGAAGCAAAATCCATCGGAATCCTGTTTTCTGATTGGTTGCAGAGCGTGGTACGACGCAAAACGGATGCAGTGTGAATCCAGCATGTGTCGCGGCCCTAACGTTCGATGCTCTTTTTAAGGCCGCGACACAGACTTTTGCGTAATGCATAAGGCATAACGCATAAAGGCTATCACACCTGAAATGCATAACAGAGCATAAGCATAACATAAGACTGCTGGACCAATGAGCATCTAGCATAATGTCGCCGTATTGATTTACATAAGATGTTCGTTGGTTTACCCTGGATCTACAATAGATTTTTAAGCTTTAAGCCATAAGGAATGGACGAATCACAATCAATTATTCTCCTTGCATTCGACTGTAGTTGGTCAATTTCTTACGGCTTAAGGCTTAAAGCACCCATTATAGATTCGGACTTAGCGGCCTTATGTTATGCTTATGCTCTGTTATGCATTTCATGTGCGATAGTCCTAACGCATAGCGTACGTGTAGCAACGCACAAGCTTGTACATAGGCTTGTACTATTTGGAATGTCTCAATTAGAAATAAGATAATATTATATAATTATACATTGTATACATTATATAATTATACATTATATACATTATATACATTATACAATATCATTTTATTATATAATTTTATAAATAATGACAAATACGTCATATTCCTATCTGGGATGTCTAAACGTACTTATCTATCACACGTTTCGAGGTTACAACAGGCTAGCATGAGAGCATTCTTCGTATTCCTGCTGCTGAAGATGCTGCATAGCATAAAAAGTTCGTCTTTACGGATTTTTCGACGTCTTGTGTTTTAGGGCTCGCACACATGAAATGCATAACAGGGCCCCGATTCTCTAACTTACTCGTAAGAGAAACGTATGCGCAAACTCAGAGTTACGATCGCTTATATTTGAAACTCTATTCTCTTAACTTACATACGTATACGCATTGAAACGTATACGCAGATTTACGTATGAAATACTGCGAATGGTCCGAAGTATTCGTTTCTCGATTACGAGCACGTTTGCGAATAACTGTCAGTAGACAAACAATTTTAAACATAAAATGAACGTTTTTAATAATTTCGCTGTTGCACATGAGGCCGATAATGCACATGTTCAACAAGCTGTCGCACGGCGAAATCGTCGTGCAAGACACATAGCAGCTGATACATTTAATTTGGATGACAAAAAATTTTTAAAGTTATTTCGTTTAACGAAACCATTAGTGCGTTATCTAATAAGAGATTTAACACCATACATGAAGAAGAGGCAGCGAAGATCTATGTTGGATATTAAAACAAAAGTAAGTATAAATATAGAAATTTATGTACATAAATGGATAGAATTATATTACACGCATAAAAAAATAATTCTTTCTTCTCAGAACAATTTCTATTTCTCACAAAAAAATTAAATTGTTCTTAAAAATAGAGATATAATCTAGTATGGGCGTATATCGTATAATGAGAATATAACGCATGTCTATGCGCTAGATTTCGTCTCTATCTTCAAGAACAATTTTGTTTTTTCATTTGTGAAAAATACTATCACACAGTATTATATGTTAAAATATATATGTCCAATTATATAATATTATTAAGATATATACATGTTAGTTTAATTTTTAATTCTGGTTTATAGATATTGACAGCATTACATTTTTTTGCATATGGTAGTTATCAAACAAGTATAGGACAAAATTTGTATGTTGCTATTAGTCAATCTGAATCTAGATGTATTAATGAAGTAGTAGATGCATTAAATCAGGCAGATATAACGAACCAGTGGATTAAATTTCCCAGAATTTTAAATGAATTAAAATATTTAAGACAACAGTTAGTACATTTAATTCTTTAACAATATAATATTAAATATGTATTTTAATATTAATTTATATATTTTTTTTTCTAAACTACTATAATAAGACATTATAACACATTTCTAGATTTTATGATAGCCATAGATTTCCTGGAGTAATTGGATGCATAGATTGCACTCACGTAGCTATTTTTCCACCAAAGATTCGTGATGCTATAAATCCTGAACATTATACGTTAATAGAAAAGGATATCATTCCATAAATGTACAATTGGTAAGCGTATAATTGTTGTTCTTTTTAAGGTTAGAATTGTTATTATATCATTTGTATTAATATTATATATAATTTTTTAACTCAGGTATGTGATTGGCGTTTAAAAATATTAAATATAAATGCTCGCTACCCTGGAAGCACACACGATACATACGGAATAATTCTAATTTAAAAGTAGGAATGGAAAGAATCAACAGACAGTGGCCAAATATGACATTTTTCCTTCTAGGAATCAACACATTATATTATATATAGTATAGTATATACATATATGAGGTGTTTTTTCAAATTTCGCCCACTGAAATATAAAAAAAAATATTTTTTGATATTTTGACTCAATTTTTGATCAAGAATAGCGCTACACGATAAATGGACATTTAAGAAAATTAAGAAACACATTTAAGAAACATTCTATATTATATTAATATTTTAGAAATATATTTGTATTTTGTAATCTTGTGATATATATTTGTAACTTAAATTTTAGAAGCGTTATTAACTATTAATAATTATTAATAACAATTAATGCTTTAGGTGATTCTGGTTATCCTCTACGACCTTGGTTATTAACTCCAATCATTAATGCAGAAGTAAATAGTCCAGAAGAAAGATACAATAGGAGTCAAATGTCTTGTCGAGCTTTAATAGAACGTTGCAATGGCTTATTAAAGATGCGGTTTCGCTGTTTATTGAAACACAGAGTTTTACACTATTCACCACAAATGGCATGCAAAATTATAAATGCTTGTGCTATTTTGCACAATATGTGTATAGAAAATAATATCCCATTCCCACAATATGATGATGATTGGCAAGATGATATGTTTAATCAGTACATCGGTTATAACAATGAACAAATAGTAAATAGAGTGAATCCTGATTTGGCAGCAGGTAAACAATTGCGAAACAGATTGATTCGTACTTATTTTCGTTGATATATATATTTATATACATATACGAATGCGGAAAAGACCTTACATATAGAATATATACATTATACATTTAATGTGTAACATACATCTAATACATAATATTTAAAATGTATAACATATAATATAAAATAAAATAGTAATGTAACATACTTCATAAATTTTTTGAATCTTTTATAATAAAAAAAAAGCAGTATCACATGGAATCACAAAGAATTCTTATGCAGTCTTTACTCTGTAGAACTCAACATATAAATCATAATAACTTCTTATTTAATAATAAACATGGATATATTGACAAACTTTGAACTTATAATATTTAATATACGTAATACACATATGAGTAATAAATATTTATGCTCATATTAAATTTAAAAATAGGAACATATATAAAAATAAAACTGAAAAAATGAAAGATCTACAACGCAAGAATTTGCTGTATTATGAAGGATTGCATTTTTCAACAGCATTAACCAATCTTTTTTGAAGTCTTAACTTTCGTTTCTTCAATATTAACTTTTGGTCATAATAAGAGCTTTGGATTTGGTAAGTTTGTTTTGCTACTTCTGCCAGTATCTCTGTTGGCTGTTGTATAGATTGAACATTGTCTAACTTTTTTTCCCTTTTTTTAATTATTAGTGTAGTTGGAGAACCATTATTATCATTTTCATTTAAATTGTATGCACTATTATCAATTAATGAATTTTCTTTATCTTCATTGTTGTTTGCTTCAGTGCTTTCCATGTTAATATTGACTGCATTATTATGTTCACCAATTTGTATCAACTCTCCTACATTCTGCTGAAGATATTCCCCTTCATTTCCAATTATTTCAAAATGTATCTAATAATAAGAAGCAGAGATACATAAATTCATGCGTTCTATTATGTTATAATAAGGAATGTAAAAATAAGGCTAAAAAAGAAAGTAAAGTAAAATAGAAGAGATTGAAGAAATTAGAAAAAATCTATCAATTACAAAAATATATGTAGAATTTTACCTCAGAGTCTGATCCTATGTGAACTTCACTTTCGTTTATCTCTGTGTGTCCATTAATACTTGTGGAACAAATTAAATTTAATGTTGCTGCCTCTGTTGTACTTAATTTTAGGTTAGATTCAGTCCCTCCTCCAGTTTTATTTCGTTCTGCATTTATTTTGCTTTGCTTCATTTTACTACGAGATCGTAAATCTTGCCAGCACTAAAATATTATGATTAACATGATAATATAAGTTTTAATGTAATAGAAATTATTCGATTTATATCTATTATATGTAGTATATTAATATACGTTATATACTTACTTTCCGCCAAGATTTCCAATCTTTACTTATACCATTGCAACTATTTAAGATATCTGCTATCTTTTGCCATAAGATGGTTGCATCTTTATATGTAAAATCAACTGAAAATTTATCCGACAAGAAGCGCGGATTTTTTTCCATATATTGTAATAATAATGTTTTTTGTTCTTCGGTAACATTTGCACTGCGCTTTTTCTTATCCATTTTCGTTTTTCGCGTGAGACCTCTAAATGAGACCACTGTACTGATCTGATTATTATTAAATGACTATTTGTTACTTACTGACAAGTACTCGATGTTTTTACTACAGATAGTTAATAATCCAGTGTTGCCACGTATTCTATTCGTGCAAAAGATACGTACACGAATCTAAATACGAACGCTCGCATTGTGTCTTAAAGAATACATATCGATGATTGAACGATAAACGTATGCGTATTTGAACCATTCGTAAGTTACGTATACGCAAAGTTACGAGTAAAGGGCTTCACACATGAAATGCATAACAGAGCATAACCATAACATAAGACTGCTGGACCAGTGAGCATCTAGCATAATGTCGCCATATTGATTTACATAAGATGCTCATTGGTTTAGCGGCCTTATGTTATGTTTATGCTCTGTTATGCGTTTCATGTGTGAGAGCCCTAAGTTAGAGAATCGGGGCCCAGAGCATAAGCATAACATAAGATTGCTGGATCAATGAGCATCTAGCGTAATGTCGCCATATTGATTTACATAAGATGCTCATTGGTATAGCGGCCTTATGTTATGCTTATGCTTTGTTATGCATTTCTTGTGTGAGAGCCTTTATGCTTTATGCGCTATGCAAGATCTACAGAATGAAAAGTGGAGATGGAAATAAGGGACTCTGATTGGTTGATTCGCTTGTCTTGTGCGTTATGCAAAAGTCTGTGCTTAACGGCCATAACGATTAATAATTTCGTTTCACGGGGCAGAGCAACGCCTTTTTCCTGTAAAACTTTTATTTTTGCGTGAAAATGCATCGATCGAGTGTATTCTTTATCAAAACTCGAGGCGGACGGAGTTTTATTAGCATTTACCATATTTTTATATGTTCCTTCATTCATAAAGTAAAAGACTACTATTATAACTATGTATATATTTTGCCAAGGCATTTTATACACAAATATTTAAATTTTTATTTATGTGCATATATATACGGGGCATTCCACGTCAACGAGAGACCCCCCACCCCCAGAATTGGTTTAAACGAAAAGAGTTCTACTAAGGCTTAAAATTTAGGTAATTACATCTACTTTAAAATGCAAAGTGGCAAAATAAAAAATTCAAGATGGCGGATCCAATATGGTGGAAGAAGTATAAAAAAGTGCTTGAATTCACTTGAAACTTGTCACTCGGGTGTTTTTAAGGTCGCTAAACACGAATCTGACGTCAAATTTTCAATGTTCAAAATGGCGGATCCAATATGGCGACCGATTTTTAAAAATCATATCGAATTTAAATAAAACTTGTTACATGGGGTTTTTTGGGTTCTAATAGATTCTATAGGTATCTAATTGGTTTAAAAATTCAGGAAATTACATCTGCTCAAAAATCCAAGATGTCGAAATAAAAAATTCAAGATGGCGGTTCCAATATAATAATAATAATAATAATAATAATTAGTTTATTGCAAATCTAACAAGATTACACATTGCACAGAGTTAGGCCATACAATCTGGACAAGAAACCATGGCATGGTGATGGCCCCTTCCGCCTTTATTATTAAAATGTTAAAATTATTATCGTAATGTTTTTTATTAAATAATTACGTAACAATAATACAAGAAAGATAACACGAAGAGTTTAACATACGCCTACACACACACTCACACGCACACTCACACACGCACAAACACACCAAAAAAGTCAGTCGCGCCTAAATACTGGGAGAGATCCATAATATGGCGGAGACAGTAGAAAAAAGTGCTTAAATTCACTTGAAACTTGTCACTCGGGGGTTTTCAGGGTCGCTGAACACGAATCTGACATCAAATTTTCAATGTTCAAAATGGCGGATCCAATATTTCAACTCCTTTCCAGCCAATAAAGGCAAGACTAGAAATGTTCCAACTAGTAAAAGTAAGAACGGGTAATGGCCCAACTAGTGAAAGTAAGACACGTAGGTTCCAGCCAATAAAGGCAAGACTAGAAATGTTCCAACTAGTAAAAGTAAGAATGGGCAAAGGTCCAACTAGTGAAATTAAGACACGTAGTTGTTCCAGGCAATGAAGGCAGGGCTACTTAATGGGCTACTTAATGGGCTTAAAATAAAAATTGAAAATATAATTTAATATGACATGACATTACCATGTGGAGATATGGAATATCTTTTTATTAACAATTTTTTATTGTCCTGAACAATAAAACCATGATTTTTTAATATTTGCGGGACTGGTAGAGCCTCACTGAATCTCTTTTTTAGGAATTTTTCCTCTTTCTCATGCATTTTTCTGCTGTAGTATAAGACTGTTATACTTGTGAAATGATTTTTACTCCATTTCACAAGTTTCTCTACGGATAAAATGGCGTCAGACGGCTTAAGCAAGAGACTGTTTCGTGCAGCTTCTCGTTTAAACAACGCTCCAACACCATCTGATGCTCCTTTTCCATGTGCAGTTGCATGGACATGCCAATCAGCTCTCACTCCAAAGTCTTTCTCATGGTGAATTAAGTTCGTCATCTGGAATTTATTTTTAAAGTGTTGCTTGGCCCCATCGCTGAAATAAATAATTTTCTTGATGTCCATGTTTTTTTTTAAATAAGGAATCAACATTTTTTGGACGGTATAAACTGCAGCAGTATCATGGCGTGTACTTTCTGATAAGAAAACGAAACTCTTGTGCTTAATTTCAAAATCTTCTTTAAAATAACACACAACAGGGAAGACTGTGCATTGTGAATTATTAAAATGAAAACCTTGAGATGCATCTTGAGCAACGTATTTGTAATTTTCTACAAATTCTGCTGTGGGGACAATTCGTGTTTGCAATGTCGACCTATCAGTGCCTGCCCA